TTGAGAGGAGAGCAATGACCAATCTCGACAAAATAGTGAAGAGTTGAGACATCACACTGGCAACCAAGCTCCACATAGTTAAAGCAATAGTATAACCTATGGATGTGAGAGCCGGACCGTAAGGAAGGCTGAGCGGAGGAAGATTGACACTTTTGAACTGTGGTGTTGGAGGAAAATTCTGAGAGTGCCTTGGACCGCGAGAAGATCCAACCAGTCCATCCTGAAGAAAAGAAAGCCTGACTGCTCACTGTAGGGAAGGATATGAGAGCCAAAGAAGATAGGGTCACTATTCCAGCGGCATGATAGCTGACCGTTCAGCCCTGGTAAAAACAAATGTCATATTTCACATTATGTATACTTATGCATAAGTTGACCTCATATATCAGTCGAGGGCATGTCTGGGGTCCAAAATTATGGATTTTTATATGACCTATGGATAGGTTGACCCATGCTTTTTGTGTTGTAGTAGAGTCTGTTGGCAACGCTGCAACTGGTAGTAGGAGTGGTAGAGGAGGGAAACGAGGCGCCCAGGTGTTAGATGAGGAGCAGCAAAGGAAGAGAATTTGGGAGATACTTATGTCACCCACTGATGAAGAATCCTTTGAAGGTTTCTCCGAGAGTGAAATGAGTGAGGAGGAGGAGGAAGGAGATACAGATGGGAATAGAGGCATTAAGAGGATTACTCGAGAGCAGGAGTCAGACGAGGAGCGTCAGAGAAAGAAGATCCAGGACATACTTACTGCTCCCACAGAGGAAGAGGATTTCATGGGCTTTTCTGGGAATGATGGGTCTGAGGGTAGTGGGGATGAAGAGGAACCAGTGGATTGGACCAAGGTTCAGGAGATTCGGAATGTGTGTACTCAACCAACGTCCAGTGACACTTTTGAGGGGTTTTCTGGTGGCGGGGATTGGCAATCAGGTGATACTGTAGAATCATGGGGAGACCTAAGTCTTGACAAGAGGTGGAAGAGTTGGAGGGATGGGCGCTGGCGTTCAGCTGTAGAGGGTAAGCCAACTGACAGTGATGAGGATGGGGTGGAGGGCAGCTCATCATCAGATGATGAGCTGTAAGATAAATGAAGGCACTGGAGTGATAGAACTTTGCAGTAGGCAAAGTGTTGGTTTCGTTCCTTGGGTCTTGTCGCTGTCGCTTTCCTGTTGGGCTTGGGTCCTGGATCTGCAGGTTGCTGTTTTGCTTCGTGTACCAACCGGCTTGGAATCTTGTAAGTGCGGATTTCCCCTCTCCTTGACTTCGGACTGTTTTTGACGACGACGCTGCCTTTTGGACTGTGGAACTTTCAACTGGGATTTCTTCGACTTTGGACTGCTTCTGGACGACAGCTTCTCTTCATGGCTCTTTGTTTGCTTATTACCTTTGAACTGTGTGATTTTAGTGTGTTTTAGGAAGAACTCTTGTTTAATCCGGATTTTTTGCCAGTTTAATCCAGTTTATTTTCTGAGTTTGTTTTTCAAGCTGCAAATTGCTGCAAACTTTGAGTTTTGACCAGAGGCACTGAAGCAAGTGTCTCTGAGTCCTGTTTATTTTGCTTTAATTAACTATTGTTTTGGGCATACTCCTGTGTCTGGCTCTTTAAGGCATCTGGGTTCCGATATATTGTCTCGATATATTGACTAAAATTCCTAGACATATATGTCGGGTGTTTCCTAGATTGCACACTGTCAGAAATAAGTCTGCCCTAAACCGTATTCATTCCTAAGGCAATAAATAGGTACTTTCATTTCAGGTCAGAGGGGTAGAACGCCAGTTAAAAATAGCCTGGTTATGTCTGTTCAGGGGGGAAAAATCTGGGAAGCATGGACTTTGTAAAACAAAGCTGGCATTCATGGACCGTTCAGGAATAGACTGCCAATCAAGGGACCTCTTCATTTAGAAGGTTCTTCTTTTTAAATGCCTTCAGTCTTCTTTTTGGAGTCTCTCATCAAAACTGTATCATTTCCAGACATGGAACTGGGCGTTTTCGGAATGTTCATTAGTCTGTTGAGAAGCACTGTTTATGTGCATTAGGAAATCAGAATATATGCAGCAAGATTTTTGGATCATGAAATTTCAAACATTTGTATTAATATGCCTTTAACTCAATGTGTTTAATGGCTAAATGTTGTTTACGTTTTTATGATTTAACTAGCTGCCCCCTGCCACGCGTTGCTGTGGCCCAGTCTGTGTATATGTGTTTTGTGTGTGTATATATGTGTATATGTGTGTGTATATATGTGTGTATATGACCTTGAGGGAGCTGGGGGTGGTAACGGCCGACAGGGAGCTCTGGCGTGGGCTGGTCCATGAGGTCACAAATAGGCCTGGGTAACAACGGAAAAATTTGTTTCTAAAATCGATTTGTATTTGGGGGGGTTTTTTTGTTTCGATATTTAAAATAATTACAAAATTTTCCTTTTAAAAAGTTCGATATTTACGAAATTTCGTAAATGGTAAAAAATTAACGAATCGATTTCCGAAACAATAACGAATCGATTCGTTAATGGCGGACGCGACCGCGAAATACTCTAAAAAACCTCCAAAACCTCTGAAGCTTCCCTCTCCCTCTGTTGTTGACTGTTGGTGTGATATTATAATTTTTTTTCACTAATTAAACCATAAAACTGGCCCAGACATGCGGAAATAATAACGAAACGACCTCAAAACAATAACGAAACGAATACAATATCGAAATACGAAGCATTTACAAAACATCTTTGAAAATTCGTTTTTTTTAATAATTGCTCCAGAATGGTTCGTTATCGTTTTGTAATTGAAAAATTTAACGAATTATTAACGAATTACGAATTAACGAAACGAAACCGCCCAGCCCTAGTCACAAAGAGTCGGAGACGACTGAACGAATGAACAACAACAACAACAATATGTATATATGTGGTTTTGCGCATCTGTTGTAATGTATTTTTATTTTTTGGTTTTTTAAGCCTCTTCTGCTGTGTTTTTCAGTGTTTTTATGAGTGATGGTCACTTGTTGGTCTGATAGGTGTCTTGTGTCCAAATTTGGTGTCAATTTGTCCAGTGGTTTTTGAGTTATGTTAATCCCACAGATGTACATTACATTTTTATTTATATAGATATGTTATTTATTTATTTATTTATAGCATTTATATGCCACCGTTCTCACCCCGAAGGGGACTCAGAGCAGCTTACAAGATATATTTTCATACAATATATTATATTATCAGCATAGTACAATATCACTATTATATATTACTATATTGCACTATACCATTATATTGTAATATTATTAGTAATATTATATGTAATGTAAATATATAATTATAATTATAATATTGTATTTTTATTACTAGTACTTTATTGTATTACATTATAATATTATAAATATTATATGTATATACAATATACTATATTACATTATTAGTAAAGACAAGATGGAACAGAGAAGCCACTGAAATCCACAAGAAGCATGTGGACAATTTCAACAGAAAGGAAGAAACCATGAAAATGAACAAAATCTGGCTACTAGTATTAAAAAAAACTCTAAAATTACAACAGCACAACAACAGAGAGGAAACAAACAAGGACATCTAATCACCTCTCAACAAAAGTTTGCTCCAGGCACTGCCAGGCAATCAAATGCTAATCAAGGTGGTCAGTTGAAACATTCACCCCTAGCTCCAGCAGACAAGAGTCCTTTGTCCCACCCTGTTCATTCCACAGATATATAAACCCTTTTTCCTAGTTCCAACAGACCTCACTACCTCTGAGGACGCTTGCCATAGATGCAGGCAAAACGTCAGGAAAAATGACTCTAGAACATGGCCATATAGCCCGAAAAAACCTACAACAACCCACAAGATGGAACTGTTATATGTTATTGGTTTAGGTTATATTTCGTACGCATATGAGGCATTGAATGTTTGCCACAAATATGTTGGAAATTGTTTTGAGCCCCTCCCCCCTAGGGTGGGAAAAGCAGTATACAAGGGAAGTAAATAAGTAAATAAATAAATATATTATTTATTTACAGTATTTATATTCCGCCCCTCTCACCCCACAGGGGACTCAGGGCAGATTACAATGTACATATACATTGCAAACATTCAATGCCATAGACACACAACATATATAAACAGACACACAGAGGCTATTTAACTTTCCAGCTTCATGAGGGTCTGCTTTTTGGATTCCAGCCACCGGGAGAGCTGTCGCTTCACCGTCCACTTGTGACACCGATGGAGTACTTCCTCATTCTTTTGCACACTGCTGGAGAATTTTATGGCGTCGAAAATTAGTTAAATTAGCCTCCCTGCATAAGCAGTACCTAAATTTCCTATTTGACAGATGCAACTGTCTTTTGGGCTGCAAAGGTCGATCGCAAGCTAGATGAATGGTCGGGAGTTTACTCCGACTCCGACTAGCAAAGTTGTGCGTTAAGAATCAGATTCACTTATGATGACCCTATGGATGTGAGCCTTCCAAGAGCAAAAGTAGCCAAAGAAAGTCAGCACTATATACCAAAAAAAAGAACCACTACATGATTCTTATATTGGTGCTGCCTTTGGGTACCTCTTCACTTTAACTCTAGCTTTTGTAAAGCTACTCCTGCCAAGATTCAACAGCCCATGGCAATTAAAGGTGTCAGACTGCATTAATCCTACCGTGTAGATGCCGAGATGCAGAGCTAACCTTAAGAAATGGGGCTACAAAGTGGAGTCCACAACATGCGAGTGTGGAGAAGAGCAAACCACAGACCACCTACTACAATGCAGTTTGAGCCCTGCCACATGCACAATGGAGGACCTTCTCACGGCAACACCAGAGCCATTCAAAGTGGCCAGCTGCTGGTCAAAGGATATTTAGCATAACGCCAAGTTTTTAAACTTTGTGTTTTTAAATACATGTTAACTGTACCATCAACTTGCTTCTGACACAATAAATATACTGTGTAGATGCACCCAAAGTCTTACTTTCTTCTGGCTTGAGCCTTTAATATGCTCTTTGTTTTTGTTTTTTTGCACAGGTCAGTTTGTGGTTTGAGGAAAAAGGAGAACCGGAGCTCCTTGCAGTGGGATCTGCAGATGGCAGCCGGGGAACCATCGAAGAGTCCTACCAGAAGTTTAAGGAATTCTTCAAAGAGGCCACAGTATGTTGAGAAATGAATCATATAGAATCCTAGAATTGGAAGAGACCCCCAAAGGCCATCCAGTCCACCTCCTATTCCCATGCAGAAAAAAACACAAACCAAGCACCCTCGACAGATGGCCTTCCAGCCTCTGTTTAAAAGCCTCTAAGGAAGGAGTCTCCACCAGATCCATAAGGAGCCTTATTGACTTCCTTAACCGATGTTGATTATTATTCTTAACGTATGGAACCACAGTGTTGATTTTCTTAATTAAAAAAGTTATTGTCTCTGGTAATGTAAACATGTTGTTTTCCACCTCACAGCTCATTATTTCTCTCTGGTCATTAATGTCAGCAGTTCAGCAATTTTTAATTACAGTTCATGAATTCTTTTCTTTTTGTAGTTTTTCAGCCCTCAATCTTAGGGTGGCACCTCTAGACTGTATAGGTCCCAACCATACACCTTTCATACAATTCCATTCAAATCACATATCTTTTGGGTTGTTTTAAGTTTTTTCGGGCTATATGGCCATATTCTAGAGGCATTCTCTCCTGACGTTTCGCCTGCATCTATGGCAAGCATCCTCAGAGGTAGTGAGGTCTGTTAGAACTAGGAAAAAGGGTTTATATATCTGTGAAATGACCAGGGTGGGACAAAGGACTCTTGTCTGCTGGAGCTAGGTCTGAATGTTTCAACTGACCACCTTGATTAGCATTTGATGGCCTGGCAGTGCCTGGAGCAAACTTTTGTTGAGAGGTGATTAGATGTCCTTGTTTGTTTCCTCTCTGTTGTTGTGCTGTTGTAATTTTAGAGTTTTTTAAATAATACTGGTAGCCAGATTTTGTTCATTTTCATGGTTTCCTCCTTTCTGTTGAAATTGTCCACATGCTTCTTGTGTATTTCAATGGCTTCTCTGTGTAGTCTGACATGGTGGTGGTGAGAGTGGTCCAGCATTTCTGTGTTCTCAAGTACTATGCTGTGTCCAGGTGGGTTCTTCAGGTGCTCTGCTATGGCTGACTTCTCTGGCTGAAGGAGTCTGCAGTGGCTTTCACGTTCCTTGATGCGTGTCTGGGCAATGCTGCTGCGTTTGGTGGTCCCTGTGGAGACTTGTCCACAGCTGCATGGTACACGGTAGACTCCTGCAGAAGCGAGAGGATCCCTCTTGTCCTCTGCTGAACGGAGCATTGGTTGGATTTTCTTGGTGGGTCTGGAGATAGTTTGCATGTTGTGTTTCCTCATCAGCTTCCCTATGCAGTCAGTGGTTCCCTTGATGTGTTCTCCCTGAGCGCCGCTCCCGTTAGCAACCTCAATAACATTCAAAACATTTTGAAACGTGCAATTAAAAATAATAATAATGAAATAGGATGACATGGATAGTCTTGAGATCAAGTGATTGGCATTTGAAGATGTTTAGCTAGTACAGATTCTGTGCCAATCTGGAGGGCTGTCAAACCACATTCAGTGAATCAAGCAGATGATGATGGAGATTGATACCCTCTTTTTGTCTCTTCATTGAGACCCAAAGCAGCCAGCACAACCTTTGTTTTGTGGGTACACATTTCCTTCTCTTCCTGTCTTTCCTGCGCTAGGTGCACTACAACCGGGGCCTGTCTCTGTCAAAGGATGCAGCCAAATTCCAGGGCTCCTCCTTCCCCGAAATGGGGGCCTTTGAGGCAGCAAAGAGGTCATTCCAGGCCAAACTGACCACCTTCTACATGGAGATGGAGAGGACAGGGGCCGAGCTCGAGACACTCCTTGACCTGCACAAGTTCGGTGACAAGGTAAGTGCACTAATGCCAAAACAGATGCCTTAGTATTTGAAGAATTGGAACCCCAGGTCTCAGCGGTGGTCAGGGGAGCATTTGCACAATTAAAACTTGTGCGCCAGCTGCGTCCGTACCTTGGGAGGGCTGACTTGGCCACGGTAGTACACGCTTTGGTTACATCCCGCTTAGACTACTGCAATGCTCTCTACGTGGGGTTGCCTTTGAAGACTGCCCGGAAGCTGCAGCAAGTCCAACGCGCGGCAGCCAGATTACTAACGGGGGCTGGGTACAGGGAGCACACCACTCCGCTGTTACGCCAGCTCCACTGGCTGCCAATTAGCTTCCGAGCACAATTCAAAGTGCTGGTGTTGACCTATAAAGCCCTAAACGACTCCGGCCCTGTTTACCTCTCCAAACGTATTCTCCCCTATGAACCATCAAGATTATTAAGATCGTCTGGAGAGGCCCTGCTCTCGGTCCCACCGGCCTCGCAAGCGCGCCTGGTGGGGACGAGGGACAGGGCCTTCTCGGTGGTGGCCCCGCGACTCTGGAACTCTCTCCTCTGGAGGCCAGAACCGCCCCATCCATCCTAACATTTAGGAAACGGGTGAAGACGTGGCTGTGGAGTCAGGCCTTCGAGGAATGAGACAACACCATAGGACCCTGGATGGAAGTTGATGTAGATCCATCTTAATAGGACGACTGACCACTGTAGTTTTATATATAGTGTTTTTAAAGTTGTTTTTGTAATTGTGATATATGATATTTTAATGAGTGTATATGTTTTTTATGGCTGGAAACCGGGCTGAGTCCCTCAATGAGGTTGAGAAGCTCGGTATAGAAAACTGTGAAATAAATAAATAAATAATATATAATATTTTTTTGTTATTGCTTTTACGTTTTTTAAATGTATTGTAATGTGATTTTTTTTTTGCTTCTAACCGATGTATGGATTTTTATATGGCATCTAATTGTGCCAATTTGTACGCTGCCCTGAGTCGCCTTTGGGCCGATATGGGCGGGATAAAAGTGATGTAAATAATAATAATAATAATAATAACAATAATAATAATGAAGAAGAAGAAATGCAAGCTACTGTGAAAGCAAGCACAAGAGTTCTGACTATACAACTAAACTGTACATCAATTCACTGTGGCACTCTACACCCAGCAAGGCGACTTGATCAACTAAACTTGTTGAACTATTAAAAAACAGATACCTTAGCAAAACATCAGAGGAAGGAATTGGACCTCAGGAATAACTTTCGAATCCCCCATTCTCCGGGAGAGTATTTACACGAATCCAAAGCACTACAGGTCTTTAGCCTCCTCTGCCAAAGAATGCTGGTGCCTCACCAAACTACGTATCTTTGAGTCATGACAGTTAACGTGGCCTCAAACTGCATTCATTCTAAAGCATAGATGTACCCAAGGAGATATTTAAGAGTGTTGGGTTATAGAGCAATGGGTACATCCACACTGTAGATTTAATGCAGTTTGACCCCACTTGGGCTGTTGTGGCTCAGTGCTAGGGAATCCTGGGAGTTCTAGTTAAGTGAGGCAACAAACTACAACTCCCAGATTTCCATAGCATTGAGCCATGGCAATTAAAGTGGCATAAAACTACGTTAAATCACCAATCATGGCAAACATTGGCCCCTTCTACACTGCCGTATAAAATTGGGATTATCTGCTTTGAACTGGATTATATGGCAGTGTAGACTCATACAATCCAGTTCAAAGCATTAATATTGATTATCTGTGTTGATAATCTGGATTATATGGCTGAGTGTAAGGAAACACTGAAGGAGGAGAAAGGGCTGTTTTATCTTCTTGTGTTGGCTGATGACTTCCAAAGCACTCAATCTGCTCTGGGTTTTAGTCCGAACGTTAAAGGAGGTGCAGAGTTTCCTCCCCCAAACTCCTTTCAGCACCTTAGACAGCTCCTGTTTGGGGTTAAACTCCCAAAGAGATGAGCTATAGCAGACATGGACAATCTTGAGTCCTCCAGGTGTTTTGGACTGCAACTCCCGCAAGAAGGGGCCTGAGTCGACACTGAAGTGTACACTGCCATATAATCCAGTTCAAAGCAGATAATCCGGTTTTTATATGGTAGTGTAGAAGGAGAATTGCTGGCCACTATCGCATACTACAAGACTAAATTAAAAGCAAACACACTAAACCAGTGTTTCTCAACCTGGGGGTTGGGACCCCTGAGGGGGTCGTGAAGGAGTGTCAGAGGGTTGCCAAAGACCATCAGAAAACATAGTAAAACATGGGGGTCCTGTGTGGGAAGTTTGGCCCAATTCTGACATTGTTGACATTGAGAATGCGCTTTGATTGTAGTTGAACTATAAATCCCTGCAACTACAACTCCCAAATGTCAAGGTCTATTTTCTCCAAACTCCACCAGTGTTCACATTTGGGCATATTGAGAATTTGTGTAGAGTTTGGTTTAGATCCATTGTTGTTTGATTACAAAGTGATGTCTGGATGTAGGTGAACTACAACTCCAAAACTCAAGGTCAATGCCCACCACACCCTTCCAGTATTTTCTGTTGATGATGGGGTTCTCTGTGCCAAGTTTGGTTCAATTCCATCATTGGCAGAGTTCAGAATGGCCTTTGATTGTAGGTGAACTATAAATCCGAGCAACATCAACTCCCAAATGCCAAGGTCTATTTTCCTCAAACTCCAGCATTCACATTTGGGAGTATTGGGTATCGCGTGCTCTTTCATGGTAGGTGAACTATAAATCCCAGCAACCACAACTCCCAAATGTCAATGTTTATTTTATCCAAACTCCACCAGTGTTTGCATTTGGGCATATTGAGTATTTGTGCCAAGTTTGGTCCAGATCCATCATTGAGTCCACAGTGCTCTGTGGATATAGGTGAACTACAACTCCAGAACTCAAGGTCAATGCCCAGAAAACCCTTCCAGTATTTTCTGTTGGTCATGGGAGTTTGGTGTGCCAAGTTTGGTTCCATTCCATCATTGGTGGAGTTCAGAGTGCTCTTTGATTGTAGGCGAACTATAAATCCCAGCAACTACCACTCCCAAGTGTCAAAATCAATGCCCCTCCAACCCCACTAGTATTCAAATTAGAGCTTATTAGGTATTTGGTCCAGTGAATGAAAATACATCCTGCATATCAGATATTTACATTACAATTCATAACAGGAACAAAATGACAGTTGTGAAGTAGCAACAAAAATAATGTTATGGTTGGGGGTCACCACAACATGAGGAACTGTATTAAGGAGTCGAGGCATCAGGAAGGTTGAGAAACACTGCACTAAACAAATACATACTTCAGTGAACATGTACATACTAACAAACACACATCTAGAAAGACAACACACTCATTGTCTGTTGATTTTAGGCCTTATTGTTATATTTCATTTAGATAGTTCTATATAATCGCAGTAAGGATGGCTTTCTTAACTCTTCCCCTCCCAGGTTGCCCAATTCAGCCTTGACTGCAAGCTGCTCCTGGTCCACTCCACCTCCAAAGGGAACGCTCTTGAGAACCCAAATGTCCAACAAGAGATGGATGAATTGCTCCAAAGGCTCTCCAAGGAGTTTTCGGCCGAGACCTTCCAGCAGATGAAGATCCAGGCTTCCAGCCTTTCCAACCAAAATGGCTTAACGGTGTGGAGGGAAGCTCTGGAGAGATGCCAGGAGGCCAAGCTCACCCTCCAAAGCGCATTGGGGAGATTCAAGGAAGAGAGTAACCAGAGAGAGAAGAATGGATCCTTCAACCCAGTTCCTGAATTCCATGGTTTGGATGGAGTATCAAGAGAACAAGGCAGTGAAGTCAAGAACAACAAGGATGGATTTGCAAATGCTCTTGATGATAGCGACCATTCATCTGATGCTGTGCATAACAAGACAGGCAAGGAGAGAGAGGAGACCTATCTTGATTCGCTGGAATATGGTCCCACCAAGAATAATGAGGATGGATTTGCAGGCACCATTGGTGACCGTCCATCTGATCATGTGCATGGTGGTATGGGAAAGGGGAGAGAGGAGACCTATCTTGAACCCATCTTGGAATATGGAAACCCTGTAGCTCAGGACTTGGTTGCAGAGATCTCTGATGGCCTCCACGTCTCAACTCAGAGCTTGCCTTCCATGCTTCCTGACCTCTCCACCAAGACCTGTGAGAAGCTGCCCTCCACCAAACAGCCTTGCGCCTCCATGCCGGCCAGAGGTCGCAATCGCCGGAGGACCGAGGCGGCCCAATACTTCCAGCTCTCCAGGCACGAGAGCTTTTCCTCAGAAGATGCAGATTCCCAGAACTCTGCCGAAGACACCTTGGGATCCAGCACCTTATCCGTGGAGTCTCCAAGTGCCAATGCGTCCTGTGCCCAGGAGAAGTCTTTGGGCATTCTCTATTTGGAGAACCACAACGTGCATTGCATGCCTAATGCAACCACCCAATGAAACCAAAGAGCACTGAGTCTCAAGTTCCACACTTTTGAGCATTTCAAGGCTTGGGCTGCTGTGAATTTTTTGGGCTGTCTAGCTTTGTTCCAGCAGCATTCTCTCCTGATGTTTTGCCTGCATCTGTGGCTAATGGTATCTTCAGAGGTCTGTTTGAAGTGAGGCAAGTGGAGTGTATATATATATATATATCTGTGGAATATCCAGGGTGGGAGAAAGAACCCTTGTCTGTTAAAGCAAGTGTGAATGTTGCAATTAGCAAGCTTGAATAGCATTGAGTATGTCAGGATTAATTTAGTTATGTATGTGTTTTAAATGTGCTTCTATGTATTTCCAAGATGGATTCTACTGTGTATTAGAAATGCTGTGCAGAATGTTTATTCCATGAGACTGTGATTATGTGACCTTGAGAGAAGTAAGATAAGGTTTGCTCTTGCTGGGAACAGAAGGGAGTAACCGGTCTCAGCAAGAAGAGATTAGCAGATGTGAAGAGACTTTCGGTTTTGACTAGTTCCTGAATTGTAGCTCGCTGTAGTAAGACGTGTCTATTGAATGTGCTTAGTAAACTTAGTTTCTTTTGTAACTCAAAGCCTGCAGAGTCCTTATTTTGCAACACAGTGTCTGCTGATCTAGCAATCCTTCCGCTGTGCATCGCCAAACTCTGACAGAGTAGCTTGCAGCTGCAAAGTCAATCAGCGAGGGTATCTGCATAGAGGTAGACTGGGATTTGTTGCCTGGAAGTATCCTCTGTTTGGGAGGTGTCCACTGGACCTTGGTATTTGGAGTTCCTGTTTCTGAGTGGTGTTCCTTGTGTACTGTCTTGATTCTGATGTTTTTTAATTCTCTAGATAGCCCTCACTGATTGACTTTGCAGCTTCATGGCTACTTAATGCTAATCAAGCTTACCAATTGCAATATTCAACTTGCTTTAACAGACCAGGGCTCTTTCTCTCACCCTGGACATCATTCCACATGTATATATGCACTCCACTTGCCTCACTGCCAACAGAGCTTCTGAAGATGCCTACCACAGATGCAGGTGAAACATCAGGAGAGAATGCTGCTGGAACATGACCAAACAGCCTTAAAAGCTCACAGCAATCCTGTGATTCTGACCATGAAAGCTCTTGACAACAAGGATTAATGTTTTCCCATTACACTATGTAACTAAATTACAAATCTGTTCCTGATTTGAAAGTATTATTTCCTGTTTAATTGTGCGGTCCTTCCTTTGAAAGTAGCCATTTTACTCCAAAAACTTTGTTTTTTGTGGCTGCCACAAAATCTGCTGAATTGGTTGAGACTCTTATGAGAGATTGATTGAAAAACTAGAGCAAAATGTGCTGCACAATTAATATCAATTTTTGCTTGGCTGAATCAAGGGCCAAAAGTACAAGGAGAACTTTCCATGCATGCTCATCTATGTGCAAATGTGCATTGGAACCCTCTTATTCCATATGTTTTTTTTTCTTAATGTAAACTTTTGGCTAAGATCCTACATTGGTCCTTTGCAGTGTGTGGAATTGCACATTAATTGTGCTGCGTGATTAGTACAATTGTTGCTCAGCTGACCCAAGGTACCAAAAATGCAAGCGAACAGACAATCAAATATGTGTGTTCATCCATGTACAAATGAATGGGGCATCACTGTGCAATACGTAATATGGCATATATGCTCATAAACATTCCACATCTCTTTGCCATGTGCATCCCATGTACAGTGGTGGCCCATGTGCAATTCTATGTCTGCAACCTTGCAAAAAATATTTTCCATGTCAGGAGCGACTTGAGAAACTGCAAGTAGCTTCCGGTGTGAGAGAACTGGCCGTCTGCAAGTATGTTGCCCAGGGTACGCCCAGATGTTTTGATGTTTTTAACATCCTTGTGGGAGACTTCTCCATCTGAACATGAGGAAGAACTTCCTGACTGTGAGAGCCGTTCAGCAGTGGAACTCTCTGCCCAAAGTGTGGTGGAGGCTCCTTCTTTGGAGGCTTTGAAACAGAGGCTGGATGGCCATCTGTCAGGGGTGCTTTGAATGCAATTCCTGCTTCTTGGCAGGGGGTTGGACTGGATGGCCCATGAGGTCTCTTCCAACTCTTTGATTCTATGATTCTATGTATCCGCATGGGGAGCTGGAGCTGACAGAGGGAGCTCACCCGCACTCTCCCCAGATTCTAACCTGCGACCTGTCACTCTTCAGTTCTGCTGACTCAAGGGATTAACCCATTGCGCCCCCATGAAGACAAAACATGTGCAACTTCTTGCATAGCATGTGTGAGATACCAACAAGATTCTAGTCTGTATTTTCAATTTTTTCATGGAGGATGTATTGTTGTTGCACAGTTATCACAGGTTGCGATGCGCATTTAGAAAATGATAGAGGAAAGCTGATTCATGGCTGGGAGATATAGTTCCTCTCTCGTCTTTTGGGGCTTCTGGAAGAGAAGGAAGCACATAGAAACCCTGGAACATTTGCATGCCATGCATGTACTCCTTGTGCAATGGCTTTTATACAAAAGTTCTCTCCTCCTTGGACATCCATGTTCCACTTTGCAAGAGATGGACCATTTTGGAATGGAAACCATTCAAGTGCCTTTTCCTTTTATTTCCCCATGACATGGAACCCTCCTTTGGATTGTATTCCTCTCCAGTGCTTCCATTGAAAGCAACAAGACTCACATCAAACACAGCCAAACGTTCCGTTGGCTTCAATGGGACTTGGTCATAATTCCACTGGAAAAGATGCCTACGTTTACAGATCTTTAGGAAATGCTGTTCTCCAAACTTTGGAGAGCTTCAAGTTCTGAGCATTTGGAGCATGAACTCACAGAGAGGAAGCAGTATGTGTGAAAAGGATCTTGGAGTCCTCGTGGACAACAAGTTGAACATGAGCCAACAATGTGATGCGGCGGCAAAAAAAGCCAATGGGATTTTGGCCTGCATCAAGAGGAGTCCACTAGTGTCTAGATCAGTGGTTCTCAACCTGGGGTCCTCAGATGTTTTCGGCCTTCAACTCCCTGAAGCCCTAACAGCTGGTAAATTGGCTGGGATTTCTGGGAGTTGTAGGCCAAAAACAACTGGGGACCCCAGGTTGAGAACCACTGACCTAGATCCAGGGATGTCATGATCCCCATGCTCTATTCTGCCTTGGTTAGACCACACCTGGAATATTGTGTCCAATTCTGGGCACCACAATTCAAGAGAGATATGGACAAGCTGGAATGTGTCCAAAACAGGGCGACTCAAAGGATCAAGGGTCTGGAGAACAAGCCCTATGAGGAGCAGTTTAAAGAGCTGGGCATGTTTAGCCTGAAGAAGAGAAGGCTGAGAGGGGATATGATAGCCATGTATAAATATATGGGGGGAAGTCACAAGGAGGAGGGAGCAGGCTTGTTTTCTGCTGCCCTGGAGACTAGGACACAATGGAGCCATGGCTTCAAAGATCTTGGAGTCTTTGTGGAGAGGAAGGGGAACAGGAGCCAGGAATGTCATGCAGCAGCTTAAAAAGCCAATGGGATCTTGGCCAGCATCAATAGGAGTCTAGTGTCTAGATCCAGGGAAGTCATGCTCCCCATGCTCTATTCTGCCTTGGTTAGACCACTCTACCTGGAATCCCACTGTGTCCAATTCTGGGCACCACAACTGAAGGGAGATGTTGACTCCAAGCTGGAATGTGTCCAGAGGAGGGCGACTCAAAGGATCAAGGGTCTGGAGAACAAGCCCTATGAGGAGCGGATGAAAGAGCTGAGCATGTTCAGCCTGAAGAAGAGAAGGCTTAGAGGAGACATGATGAGGGCCATGTATAAATATATGAGGGGAAGTCATAGGGAGGAGGGAGCAGGCTTGCTTTCTGCTCCCCTGGAGACTAAGGTGCTATGGAGCAATGGCTTCAAACTACACTTGAACATTAGGAAGAATTTCCTGACTGAGAGAGCTGTTCAGCAGTGGCTCTCTGCTCAGGAGTGTGGTGTAGATGCCTTCTTTGGAGGCTTAAGCAGAGGCTGGATGGCCATCTGTCAGGGGTGCTTTGAATGAGAGGAGACATGATAGGAATGGAAGGAGAGGGCTGAGAGGAAATGTGATAGCCATGTATAAATATGTGAGTGGAAATCACATGGAGAAGGGAGCAAGCTTGTCTTCTGCTTCCCTGGAGACTAGGACGCAGAACAATGGCTTCAAACTACAGGAAAGGAGGTAGCACCTGAACATGAGGAAGAACTTTCAGACTGTGAGAGCTGTTCAGCAGTGGAACTCTCTGCCTTGGGAGTGTGGTGGAGGCTCCTTCTTTGGAGTCTTTGACACAGAGCCTGGATGGCCATCTGTCTGGGGTGCTTTGAATGTGATTTTCCTGCTTCTTGGCAGAATGGAGTTGGACTGGATGGCCCACCAGGTCTCTTCCAACTCTAGGATTCTAAGCTCACGGGCAAAGATGCTTGTCTTGCCTACCTCACAGGGTTGTTGTGGGGAGAAAGTAGGATAAAACCTAAAGCTTGTTATATTAGGGTTAATAGAGCTGATATCTACACAAAAAATGGAGGATATGGGGAATCTCCTTCTGGGGTTTCCTATCGAAAAATAAGACATCCAACCAGAGCAGATATGGCAACTGTGCAAAGCACCTTCTCCATTGCAGTGGGCATTGATGTTCGGAGTTTTGGAGACTCTGCAAGGTTTATAATGTCATATACGTGATGAATACAATGCTTTAATGTGAATAGTGGCCAGTATTTCTATGTTCCAACAACAAAGATGTTTATGACAATCTTTTCTCCCTTCTTTTTTGGAGAAGGAGTGAGAGGCGCATGAACTAATGCGTATATGTTTCTTAAACCAAAGGAATGTCTATGTACATTTTCAAAAAAATAAAGATTATATATATTGGGTTGTTGTAGGTTTTGTCGGGCTATATGACCATGTTTGAGAGGCATTCTCTCCTGACGTTTCGCCTGCATCTATGGCAAGCATCCTCAGAGGTAGTGAGGTCTGTTGGAACTAGGAAA